TTTTACTTTTTATGTCATAAAAATATTAGGAATATAACAATATATATATATATATATACATACAGACAAAATGTATATTATGTATAATTTGTAAAATTTATATAATTATTGTTAACGAATCGAATATTCGAATTTCGAATCGAATATCTACACATTCGAATTCGAATTCGTTATAATTTCGAATCTAAAACATCATTCGAATTCGAATTCGAATATTTCGAATTCGAATCACGAATATCGAATTCGAATCACGAATCGAATAAAAAATGTTTGATTTGTTTACAACCCTACTGCTTACGTGGCATGCACACATTGGTAATATTAATATCATCAACATCATCATCAACATCAACATACCCAGTATATTCCCAAACAGGTTGGGGTCTTGGAGGTCAGTTGTACGCAGACCTTACCCTTGTAATTATACAAGGAGACTGTTTCCATAGCGACCCAAGGTGCGTTGCGTCGTTTCATATATTTTTCCTAGAAACTTCACTAATAGAAGAAGCACTAGAATTCAATTGAGTCATTTTGATCTAGTCCATTATTTGCACGATGCCAGAAGCGGTGGGCATCTAAAAAAAATACATCACCAATGTGTACATGATACATAAGCGGTGGGCATATTAATATGTGCCCACCGTGGGTAGGGGAACATTCCTCTACTTAGAATATTATATAAAATAATTATGTAATTTATTTTGAAATGCATGGCACCTGTCGATAATTATGACATAGCAAATAAAATTGCGCTCTTCGCCAGATGGAAATTTTGGCATTTTATTTCTGTTTCTTTATTATTATACTTCGCTATTTAATACATTGTAACGATATTTTACTTGTTATTGTTATAATTTAGTCATTTTTAATGGATTCGATCAATTTCTAAAAGAAACAACAAGTATCGTTATCTCATAAAATAAGTTTCGTTATAAGTATTGCGATGCTATAACGAGTGCATTCGTTATAATTTAATATATAACGAAGATAGATTAATTGGTTCCAAGTATACAACAAGTAGCATAGCTAATATTTTATAAAACACATAGAGTGCACCAAATGCTATCTTTAGTTCATTAACTCAATCCTACAAACATTTCATCAAACACATAGTGTGCACCAATTATCATGTTCAATTCTATTAAAACTAGCAAAATAAGATGAAGTCAAATAACACAATCAACTCTTGCTACAAGAAAATCAAAGGCTAAAAAACATGGAAATTAAATAAAAGAACAAATTGACAAAACCAAAAAAAATACATACTGAAATTTACGAGAAAGAGCTCCATAGGGTCGGGCGCGAGAGCGGGAAGCAGAAAGAGAAGGTCGAAAGAGAGAGAAGGTAGCGAGAGAGGGAGGAGCAGAAGATAGATTGACGAGTTCGGTTTTTTTTTTTTTATGTATGTTATGGATGTTAAGTTTGGAAGAAAGATACTAAAATGCAGGGTCTGCTAAAGCTTTTGTAAGTATGTCTGCTTGCTCCTTTGAGTCCACATGTTGAAGTTTGATTATCCCTTTGGTGACTTCTCCTTGACTAGATGACAATCAATTTCGATATGTTTTATTCTTTCATGAAAAACAGGGCTAGTGGCCATTGCAATAGCAGACTTGTTATCACAAAATAAAGTAACATGTGATGTGTGTGAGATATTAAGGTCAGCAAGAAGATATAGTATCCACTGAATTTCACAGGATGTAGAGGCTATGGCTCTATTTTCTACCTCAGTTGAGGACTTACTAATAGTTGCTTGCTTTTTTAGATTTCCAAGAGATGAGTGATTGGCCTAAAAAGATTGAAAAACCAGTGACACTTTTTCTTGTGGTAACACAAGAGGCCCAATCACTATCTGAAAAAGCATGTAATTGAAGTGATGAATTTCTGGAAAAGAGAAGTCCCTTACCTACTGTACCTTTTAAGTATCTCAGCACTCTGTATGCTGCATTAAGGTGGTGGAATTATCGGCCTTGATATTGTTAGGTATAACAACCTGCCAATAAGCTTCCTATATGTTGTAGGTTCTGTCAACTCATCATTCTCAGTACAAGCAGTTAGTTTAACAGTGGGATCCATAGGTGTGGCTGCTGGCTTGCAGCCTAAGAAACATGTGTCAGTGAGAATATCTAGAGCATATTTTATCTGACATGTGTTTATGGCTTGGTCAGAGTGAGCAAACTCTAGTCCAAGTATATATTTTAAAACACCCAGATCTTTAATAGTAAACCAGCTGTCAAGATGATTTTTTATAGCAGATATGTGTGCTAAGTTGTTACCAATGACAATAATGTCATCAACATATACCAATAAAGCAGTGAATGAAGAATCTACATGCATAGTGAATAAGGAAGTATCAGAAACAGATTGCACAAAACCATAATCAATGAGACACTGAGTAAGCTTAGAGAAGGGCTCGGCTGGGTCAGTGTTTTTGGCCACCGAGAGGAAAGATTTTGCTGGTTCAAGGCCGACTGATTAGGTTGAAGAGGTGGCAGAGCCGGATTGAAAGTTTCGGGCCAGGTTCGAGCCGATTTGGGAAGACCAGGCTGAGATTGAACGTGGCTGGGTTGGGTTCGTGCCGGACTGGGGGATTTGGGTTTGGTTCGGGCTAGGCAGAGTGGGGTGGGTTTTAGATGAATTAGGAAGGGGTGAAGTGTGGACGAACTTGATTTTGATTTGGAAGGGCTGAGAAGGGCCAGGTGAGAAAAATAGTCCACTTAAATTGGACCCAAAAATAGGGGACAAGTGGGCTTGAATTTAGAAGGCCAAATAGGATGGAGAAGAGAATAACTAACCGGCTAAGAAGAGGAGCCCAAGGATTAGGCACGTACGGGATTAGGGCTAGCTGAGGATGTTGTGCTGCCACTTTGTGACTGGAGGTAGAGAAACCAACGACGGTGACTGAAGAAAATCTGGCGACTTCCGGCGGGATTGGTTAAGCATATGGGAGCGAACGGAGAGAACTGTTGGGAATCGCTTTTGTCGACTCACCGAATCTGGGGACGACTTTAGGTGCAGAACCACTCAGACCGTTGGAAGTTTTGGTCGCCGGTAGGAAGAGAGGCTGCTGTCCGGTGGAAATTTGTGTCGCCGGCAGGCTGAGGAGGAACTCCAGGTCGCCGGGAGGCCATTCACGAATCATAGCTTGGGACGTTCAATCACTGGTTAGTTCTTTTTAGCATTTTAGCAAACAGTTTGGTGCATGAATAGAGCTGCAGGCCAACTTCAGTTTTAGTGCATGCACTGAGAGAAATTGTGGCCGGCCTCATACGCTTGGTGAATTTGTGGTCCATTTTGAGATTGAAATTGGATAGAGACAACCACTTTTTGTAGTAATGCTAGTAAATAACTCTCCTTTTATTTATTTACTTTAAATGCTTGGCCCTCCTTTTTTAATTCATTTACTTCAAATTTCATTTCATGTTGATTATTTTAACTAAAATTTTATTATACATAAAATAGTTATCACTAATGCTCCTCTGCCCACGGCGGGCACATGTTAATATGTCCACCGCTTATGTGGCATGCACACATTGGTGATGTTAATATATTCAAAAAAATACATCACCAATGTGTGCAT